TTTGAAGTTGGGTGCTTCACAGGCTGGAAGGCCTCTGAGAACACCATGCTGGGCCATTAAGAGGCTGCCTTCCTTGAAGAATTAAGCTGAGTAAAGGACTCTGGCCTTGAGAAAGCTACATCATCTCATCTCCTTTCTGGGACTGATTGTGTCACTAGCAAGTTACAACTCGAAGGCAGGGAGTTTGTTTAATAACAGGCATTCAGAATGAAAGGATTTTAATTGTCAGTGGAAGTGAGAGCTCACGTGAAAGAAAGTCGGACTCTGAAGCAGGTTGTCACAGGGAGCTTAATCATCCATTAATCATCCATGTTTTCCTTTTAAATGATTTTTTTTTTTCCAATTTAGAGGAAAGGTTAAGTAACCGTTTTTCTTAGAATCTCTGGTGGCTTTGTTATCACACCCAACCTGACCTTTTTTTTTTTTATTTTTTTTTTATGCTCTTAGCAAAGTAAGAAGATACTAAATTATCAGGCATATTTTTCTAGGAATTTCTCTTCCAACTGAAAAGCCTGTTTTCCTAACTAATTCTCTGTTTAAATAAAAAGCCTAAACTGGGCATCAAGATGGGCTTGAAGGATGTGGGAACCCACCAAAGGGCTCATTTCTTCCTTCATGTGATTTGCTAGTAGAAATATAAAGTAAGTGGGCTCTGGTTTTCTTTTGTCATGCAAATCAACATTCCTTTAAATAGCACTAGCGATTCAGAACCCTGAGTATGTCTCCAAGTCCACACCTGCTCTTCTCTGCTCTACACAGAACCTCAATGGGGCTCCAAGTGAGAGTCTGGGTGGGGCTGTTTGTGAGAGAGAAGGCTTGAGGAGGTCTGGAGCTCCCCAGGGCAGAGCTGTCCTGACCCAGGTGTATGTATGCCTGGGACCTTGACCTATGATATGTGAAAGACCTTGATGCCAAACATGCGTAAACCCAGCGGAAGGGAAGGTAGGAGTCCCCTTGACTCAGGTGACCCAGATTTCTATCTTTTTTTCTTGCTAACAACTCCCGGGTTTGGTGCTTAGCTGGATTGGGCAGCGGTACTTCTACTTCTTGTTTTGCTGCTTGTCCCGTGCCTTGTCCCGTGCGATTTGAAGACCTTCTCCCTGGTCCTTTAGCAGCCTCTCTTCCTGTCATTCCCCCCTCCCCCCCTTTCCCTGAGGTCTGAGCAGAGCCTCTGCAGTTAGAGCCACTTGACTCATTGAATTCTTTCTGCCTTCGGAAAAGGTGACCTGAAGGCTCATCCTCAGGGACTGAGGAGGCGTGGCCTTGAGACTGTATCCCACGTGGGATGTACCAGTGACATGTCATCAGTGACGACTGAGCAAAGGTGAAGCATAGCTGGGCTCTGTGGCAGGACATGTAGACGGAAGTTTCTTTGGTGATGGTTTTTGCGGTTGCTCTGTCTGCTTTTCATGGCTCCGGGTACTTGCTACTTTGAAGAGGTCATCTTTGCTCTCAGGGATTGGGGTGTAGAATTGCAAGGAATTTACAATACTGTGACTTTGGTCTCCATAGGAGCTGACACTAGGAACAGGACAGGGGTTTGTGGATCTTTCCTGTGAACAATGCAGGGGGGTCTTCCTGAGTTTCTGTTTTACCACTGTGACTCAGAGTCTCTCTCTTCTGAAGCTACATGCAGAGCAATGTGGCCATAAATTAATCACCCTTGTGTTGCTTCCAGTGGATTTGACATAGGTAATGAATAAATAAATGTATACTGGCATCTCATCCTTAGGAACTATAAATATTTAAGGTTGGGGAATGTCAGGGTTAGAAAATGTTTTCCTTCCTCGTATTCTATATAAACCAGTCCAATAAAGGTAAACAGAAAGGCATAGAACCTACCTCCTAGTTCATGGGTACAGCACATACATCCTAGTTTGCATTCAGGTCAATTCCTGGCTTTGTTATCTCTCCTGATGGACTGGGAAAGGGTGTAGGGGCTTTGGTGAGGGCAGAGGCCTGATCTTAGGCATCCAACCCTCAAGGCCTAGGCAGCCTCCTGAATGTTGCCCTCCTCAGGCATACTTTCTCCTGGCTATGGTAGTCAGGGCTCTGGCCAGCATGCCCAACATAGATTTTGCCACCCATTCACATTGGAGAAGGATGTTTTGGACATTGGTATGAAGATAGCCAGTTATAATCTTAGGCCTTCTTTCTTTCCATAAGGATGGAAAAGTGGAAGCTACTAAAGCAATCTCTCTCTCTTACCCACCTTCTTTAGTGGAGCTTCCCACTTTTAGGGCTCCATAGAGTGGGTATAGCAAGCTTTCTTTTAGGGCCACCAACGATGGAGACTTATTATTAGTTATGAATTTCTTGCTAGCGCATATAACTTAAATTATCCTGTTTCTCTTCATCTGTGTTTTGCCTCGGGGCTTTTTAACCTTTCTTTCCTTCTGTATAGCTTACTTTCATAGCTTCTCCATAGCTGGCTCTCTGCTGCCTGGCTTCTGGTCTTGGGCGTGTCCCTCTCTTTCTCCCTCATTCTCTCCTTCCTTTCTTCTCTTTCTAGGTTTCTCCTCCTCCTTATTTTCTGTGCCTGTCAGTCTGGCCTATCACTTTCCTGCCTAGCTATTGGACATTCAACTTTTTATTAGAGCAGTCAGATGCTTTAGACAAGCAAGGCGAAACAAGTGCTGTACATCTTTACGTAGTTAAACAAATGCAGCAGAAACAAATGTAACACACCTTTACACAGTTTAAGTAATTTCCACAATTTGTGGGTCCGGTGAGTCTCCCAGAGTCTCCTTGATTTCCTGTTTCTGCAGCCCCACCCCCACCCCCAGGATCACTTCTGATGGTTCATCCTGTTTATAGAGGTTCTCCAGGTCTCCCACACTGGCTCAGTCATCACTGAAGCCACCTCAAGACATGTCTTAAGGAACTATTGCTAACTGTAGTTCTGTTAGTGTGTAGACACTAAGGTTGAAATCCCATGATCCCCAAGAGTCCTGAGGTCCCCATACTAGTATTATGATCATCTGTAAACTGTAGGAGTGTTTGACCTCACAGAAGACAAGTTCCAACACATTGTGTCACCCTGGTGTTTGTGTGAGAAAACGTGGGAGTTGCCCATTGAGAACACACAGGTCTCAGAGCTCATCTCAGTGCTGTGTCTAATCTCCCTGTCTCATTGCACAAGTGCTGGACACCCATTCATCTCCCCAGAAAAATACTGTTTTGGCATGAAGAGACCCTACCTGAGAATAGAATTCAGTAAGAATCTTGCTAAAAGGACCATGTACAGTGAATAACATTCTTCCTGCCTCTCAGCTCAAGCTTTGCCCATAAATGCACTGTGGCAAGTTTCCCTTGATGTGTGCTCCTGGAGATCTGATGCTTGGAGTTGGATGTCATCCCCAAGAAAGTGCAGACCTCACAGAGCTCCTTCCAAGATCATGGGTTCAGCTTCATCTCCCTAAGTCTTGTGTAGAGTGAACTTGATTGGTGTTCTCTTGTAGAAATTTCACTGGGGTCACCTGAGTGGCAAGATGTTGTAGTTTTATTGTGAAACTTGGGCCCTGCTTGTTAAAGTCTGTCAGTAGTCAGGTGCCTCTGTACCCTAGAGTCTCTTGGTATGGAAAATCTTGGTATGGTTAAGACAGGACCTACATGGCAGCCCTTTCCTTATACCGAATTCAGTGTCTGTTGACTTTGTTTGCATAATGTTTATCTCTCAGTTGTCTGAAGAATGCAAAACTTGCAAAACAAACAAAAACCTGAAGTTGCCCAGCCTCCAAGTGTCACATCCTCAAGGGAGGTAGAAGAACTGGGGGTGTTTGCCTCATACCTGACAGGCTCTGTCTGCACAGATTTGTGCTTTGTTGGAGAGTAGTCTCACATTCTTGTTTGTGGTTGGGTGTTTTGGGGGGCTCCTTTTCAGCTTCAAGGCACACTGCAAACCTCTTGCTGAGCCAGTCCTGTGAACTCAAGAAAAGAACACACACACACTCATTCTCTCTCAGTAGAGAATGAGGCTCAAGAGTTAAAGGTTAGAATTTCATTTAGTGTTAGAGGTTTGTCTGGCTTTATGACGAAGATGATAATAGAGCTAAGAGAGAAGAGGTCTGAGCAGTTTGAGACCCGGTGTTGCCTTGTAGCTATCATCATGGGGAGGGATGTAAAGTTAGTATGCCAGTTTATTTTAAAAGCCAAGGAGCTTTTAAGATAAAAAGGCAGAGTCACCATGATGTGATATCAGTTTTCCAAGTTGTGCTATCCATTGACAAAAGAATGTAAGTATATATCTGCACACACACACACACACACACACACACACACACACACACGCACAGAGAGAGAGAGAGAGAGAGAGAGAGAGAGAGAGAGAGAGAGAGGGAGGGAGACATGCTGGTTCTCCCTGGAAGGAAAAAACAGGTATAGCTAGTCACATGACCATGTGACCGTCCTCCTGCCACTCAGCTCAACAGCACAGTTGGTAGCTTTGGTACTTGGGGAGATATGTACACTCTGAGGGGTGCTGAGAACCCTGTGGCTTTAAGTTTGAGGGTGGTTTTTCCAGACAGGGTCTTACCTTGCTACCCTGGTTGACCTCAAACTCACAGAGATTGCCTTCCTCTGCCTTCCAAGTGCTGGGATTAAAGGTGTGAGGTCCCCGTACTAGTTTTACAATCATCTGTAGACTGTAGGAGTGTTTGACCTCATTGCAGACAAGTTCCATCATACTGTGTTGCCCTGCCTAAATCTGTGTATTTTTAAGAAGAGGGAAGATAACAGGCAGTTTCCTGGGCCACGAAAGTGGACTCCAGGCAGCCCTTATTCCTTTGAGGAGTCCTAGGCTGACTGTTGAGGTCACGTGTGGTAGTTGTCATTGGTCCCCAGTGCCTGGGGAGGCAGGCTGGTCCCTTCAGCACAGATGTTTGTCATGAAGGCAAGAACCCTGCCTAACCTCCTTGCTGGAGTGCAGGTCTGTGGGTTTGGGGGAGCTCCCTGTGGTCCCTGGAGTGTGGCTCACCAGTTATCTGATCTTTCCTTTTCAGAGTGAAGAGCTGCAGGCTCCATCACCACCACTACATCAAACTCCGAATCCATCTGAAGGAAATGCTTAGCATGTTTCCAGCCAACGCTGCTCACTTCCCTTGCAGTGGGAGCAATTCTACATTTTGAGACTTCTGTGAATTGTATTAGATAAGGAACCAAGAGGCAAGGCCACCTCCTTCGCCTGTTCCCATAAGGGGCACTTGTCACCATTGCACTGTTTGTGTTGCATTTTGTTTTGTTTGTAAACTAAATGAGTTTGATGGAGTACACTCCCGAGATTGGACATTTCCATTGGCCTTCATGAATCCTGGCCATCGCTGTCATTTCTTTGTTACTTTCATTCTGGCAAAGCGGATTAATCACTCAGCATGCAAGGAGATCCTACAATGCCCATGAAAGTGGTCAAATCTGGTATTTAATGGCTTATAGCCAAAAACTACCACAGTCCTACCTCAGTTCAAGGTAAAGCCGGATTGTTTGGCAGGGTACAGGGCAGCTCTGCCCCAGCGTGTCACATGCTGACCTCCGTCTCTCTCTGATAAGTGGATGTGGATTCCAGTCCAGGTACATGCAATGTTTACGTACGCACAACCCGGTGTGGGACTGACAATTCTCCTTGGGATTGGACTTGGAGACGGATTAATCCTAATAATTCCTGAATGTGACTGGATCAGCCTCCTTTTGGAAATTGTCAGCCGTATTTGGGGATAGGGGTGGGGAAGGATAGATCTCTCTTCATACCTTTAACAGGCTTCTTGACTCTTCTCTCTGTAGATGTTCATGTAAGTACTTCAGATGGCAAAAGCCTTTTTTCCTGCCTACGAGCCTCCTGTTTGAACCTTAGCTCGCATTCCTTGAACCAAAAACTCAATGTAGGCATGCTCAAAGCTCAAGGCTGTTTTGGGTTTGGCAAATTTTGTTTTTTAAATATATTATCTCTGCCATAATGTTACTTTGTTGGCCAACAAGGCTGCCCAGAACAGGAGGAGAGGCATTCCAGCCGTTGTACTGTTAATAGCCGAAGAAGAAAACCCGCCTTTTGCCCTACACATGCTTGTCAACAGTTCTTGACAAAGACTACCCTGGTTCTGTTTTCAGTGTTCTGAAAATGTCAGTGTTGTAGAATTGTTTCATGTGTCACCTAGAAGGGCTGAGCTTGCCAGCAGAATATCCGTCACCTTGCTGCTCCATCGCAGGGCTGGAGGTCCTGCCTCCTCCCCCCACCCCCCACCCCCCAGTGCCTGTCTCCTTCATAGTCCTGTAGAGGCTACACTAATTCTTGGAAATGCGAGTTGCTGGTTTATTTTTTATTGTCATTTTGTTTTTGTTTGGGAGAATATATATATATATAAAAGTATATAGATATATATCACTATAGAATAATACATTGGTAAGAAGAGGCTTTTTAGAAGACGACCAAAAAATTCCATGTCTTAAAAATATATTTAATGGCAATGCAGCTGTCTTCCTGCTTCTGCGCTGAACTTGTAGAAGAAGGCTGTATTGCAAGACAAAGTTGAATGTAAATTGACCCCTACCCTTCGTGAATTCTCAAGGTTTACTTTCCTGCAGCCACACATCACAGCAGTGCACGGGGCACCCAACACTAGTGTGAGAGTCCGTTTGGGTGTATGCTGTATTTTATTGACATGTTGAAGAATCCCCTGGAATTTTAACTAGTGTGGGGAGTAGGAACCTGCCTGGTATTTGCTTTGTCACTAAATCCCCCAGGGACAGTAGGACTGACTGGTCTGATGACAACAGCACACTTAGGCAGATGTGGCACACCCTCCATGTTCTGGAGTGGTCACTACAGGACACAGATGGTACGTGCATGTCCCTGCTGCAGCAGAAATGAGCAAAATGAGAAATCAAGACTACACTAAATTCCCCTCATCCTGTACATTTCAAGAAGAGCAGGCATATGCAATATTTACATCCTTAATTTAGTTTACAGAATGGAACCAAAATGTGTGAGTGTTATGTTTGCCACACTTCTTGCTGTATATTGGGTCTTTGTACATTTTGCTTGACTTAATCTTAAATTTAAACTATTTTTTGCTATATAAACTTTAACAGTTATTAAACAGTGTTTTCTTTGGGTACATGTTGTTTCAGAATATCAAGATGTTAAATATATTTCTCGCTATTGTGTTTTAACAAGAGAGTCACCCTCCCTGTTGTCTTCCGCTGTACATGCTGTATATAGGGGTCACGTGATGCCGCTGAAGACAAGAATAAACTGGAGTAGATTAGTATGCTGTATTTAGTCTGTATTGACCATGGATGCCCTCTTTAATAGCCATATGCAATAAAATAAAATACATTATTTATGAAATGAATATAGATTGAGGATGTTTTTCTGCATAGATAACCAGTTTAACTTGAATCCAGTCTCATCCTGCATGTCTGGCATTAATAAGCTGTGTGTGTGTGTGTGTGTGGTTTTGTTTTTTCATGTGGTTTTGTTTGTTTTTGAGACAGTGTTTCCCTGGCTGTCCTGGAACTTACTATGTAGACCATGCTGGCCTCATAGACATCCACTTGACTTTGCCTCAAAGTTGCTGGGACTGAAGACATATATATGACACCACACCTGGCCCGCTTGGATGCCTTGAAACTTTGATTCTAAACTGAAGATGCCCCCTGTCATAAAACTCAGTTTCTGACCAAAAGCAACTTCAGGGAGAAAGTGTTTATTTTCTCCCACAGTTTGAGGATTCAGTCTGCATGGTGGGAAGGTCCAAGCAGGAGCTTGAAGCTGCTGGTTCCATCATAACTGCAGCTTAGCTCACTTCCCCTTTTGTTTTGTTTTAAATTGCATGTGTTGTGTGTATGCTATAGACAACTTTGGGGAGTCAAGTTCTCTCATTCCACTGTGTAGGTCCCAGGGATAGAACTGTTTTCCAGACTTGCTATCAGGTGACCCCACTTTCTCCTGTGGATACAATCCAGGGTACCAGCCAGGGAATGCTGCCACCCAGAGTGGACAGTTCCTCCCTCTATTAACCTGATCAAGGCAACCCTCCCCCCCAGACATTCTCCAAAGCCTATCTCCCAGGTGCTTCTAGATCCTGTCAAGGTGATGAAACCACTATTAAGAGAGAAAATATTGAGTCCCTGTGGTGGGTGGGCCTGGTGCTGTTCTAATTGTTATTTCCAAGTGTTGTGTTACTTCCTTTCAGCTCACCACAGTGTCTGCTTTATGGATGAGAAGGAGAGAGAGGGAGGAGAGAGGGAGAGGGAGAGAGAGAGAGAGAGAGAGAGAGAGAGAGATTGAGAGAAGCTAAGACAGACCACTTGGCAGGAAGTTGGAAGTTGGACTCTGCCCCTCAGGCCAGTGTGCTCCTTCCAGGTTCATGAAGACACAAGTAACCATCACACCCCAGATGCAAATTAGGAGCAGAAGACACTGAAGTGTGATGCTCATTGGTTTTTATCAAGGATTGTGTTGCCTCTGCTGGAAATGACTTCTCTGTGAATAGCCATTCACTTTGCTCTGCATATCGCTTGCAGTTAAATACTAGAACCTAAACAGCCCTTACCTCAGGACACCTCTGCAGGCTGTATTCACTCAGATTAGCACATGAGTCAGGTTCCATGGGATATGTGCTCTGTCCTCAAGAACTTCCCAGATGCCCATTGCTTTCCTTCACTGAACTCTGCTAACAGAATATAGCTCATAACCTGGTTTCTTCTTAAAGTATTTTATCCTTTCTGTTTAGATCAGTGGTCTCCGCCTTCCTAATGTTGCCACCCTTAATACAATTCCTCATATTGTGGTGATTCCCCAACCATAGCATTATTTTCATTATTACTTCATAACTGCAATTTTGCTGCTGTTACAACTTGTAATACAAATATCTGGTATGCTGGATATCTGATAATCAACCACTGTGAAAAGGACGTTTTACCTCCCTGCACCCCCCCCCCAACTCACATGTTGAGAATCACTATTTTAAATACTTGAAAAATTCTGCCTTTGCTTCTTTGCTTTGTTTTGTCTGGAGATAGGGTTCTCCTGCCTCAGCCTACCCAGTGCTGGGGTGCTGGGTGCATGCACTACACAGCTGTCTGCCTTCGAGCTCGAGGCTCACCCAGCATGAGGCTCAATATGGAGCATGTTGTATCCATTTCAGAAGTCTTGGAACTCTGTGTAGCTCTAGATTTTCCTAATTTGAATGAATATCCTTTTTATCTTTGAGTTTCTTTGTTTTCAAGCGTTTTGGATTCCCTGCCTCATGGACCATTTCCTTTATTTCTGCAGGCTTTATCTTGATAAATTCAACCATGCACGCCCCTTTCACATCTGTGTGTGTTCACAAGAGCCCCTAAACTTTCCTCTGTATTAGTGCCTGTGCCAGTCAGGCCTGCCATTTTTTTCTGTTGCCAGTGTGTTTGTAAGTGCTATACAATGTTGGTGCCCATCTTTACTTTCAAGGTCAGCTTGACACAGCTCAGACTCACCTGAGAAAGAAGTCTCACTTGAAAGATTGCTCAGGTCATGAGCATGTGGGGGGGGGGATAGTATTCATTTTTATCTGATGTAGGAGGGCCTAGCCCACTAGGGATGGCATGCTTCCCTGGGCAGGTGGTCTGTATAAGAAACCAAGCAGAGTTCAAGTCTGCAAGCCTCCCCAGTTTCTGCTTCAAGCTCCTTCAGAGATGGACTGTGACCTGGAAAGTAAGTCACAAAATGTCCTTATCTGCCCTAAGGTTCCTTGGTCAGAGTGTTTGATAACAACAACAGAAGGAAACTAATAACAACAACAGAAGGAAACTACAACAGTGGAGTTTCCTAATTAATTACCTTTAGGACTGTTTCCTTCTTCCTTTTAATTATTTATGTTTTTAACTAATTCTACATAAGTGTCTTTTATTTTGATAGTACTGGAATTCCAATACAGGGCCGTGCACGTGCTGGCTGAGGTTTCTACTATGATAAACCACATCTCCACCCTGATTTTATAGTGATCCAAGTGATCAGGTTAAACTGATATAATACAACCTCTCCCTTTCCCATCTCTTCGGGCTCAACCTTTGACTCTTACCTCAGGGCCCAGTGGTAGTAAAGTGGTTCTTTATTTTAATGTCACCAAATTTGAACCTTTACAACTCTGCTTTGCATAGAAATCATTTTACAACTGTGTGCTGTCCTGGTGTGTTGACAGTTTCTGGCTCTACAGAACTGCTCACTCAGGCCTATTAGTCAGACACTGGCGGGCAAGGCAGCTGCAACATGCAGCCCCCTGACCCCAGAAGCTTAATTCCAAATAGCACACCTGGGTCTTGTGTTCTAGAACCCTACGAGGGAGGAAGGCACCATCATTAGCTCTGTGATCCCTGTAATGAATGGGAACCATAAATTGACCACCACACCCTATGCTTTATACTCCAAGGGTCTCTTGCCGTCTCTGCTGTTTTCATTGGCCAATGTTAAGCCCATGGAGACAGCTTCAAAGGCAATAGGAAGCAGCCATACTGTGCACCTGGAGGAGGAAAACTAGGCTGTTCTGTAAGCAGATGGTTTTAATGTCAGAGCTACCCCTGGTCTTCAGTGCAGACAGAGCTGGTAACTCACCATCTGGTTCCAAAGTGCCCGTCTCCATCTTTGGGTTTGGGTGTGAGTGCCCTTGGGGGAAAAGGAATCCTGCAGACACAACAGCTGGCAACACTGTGTCCCTTTCACGTTGCCACTGTACAGAGACACTGCCCCCCACTTCCATCTCAAACTTGAAAACCTCTGACAATGAGGCAAAGATGGGCTAGACGGGTCCAAAGTCCTGCTAGTGAGCCAGGGGCAGGAGGGGGCAGTCAGAAATTAAAGCAGCCACTGCTCTTCCTCACTATCATCCTAGATCAAACACAGTCTGTGACAAGCCCAGCTACTTTGTATCCTGATGCTGCACTCACACTCAGCCTAGCACCCCACCCCCACCCCCA